GCACTTAAAGCGTTTAAATTACCCCTAATAATTTATATTTTCCCACTGATACGTTTTCAGTAGCTCGAAGTGTTTAATTTATTTATAAGCAAAGACAGGAAACGCATTTATTAAGAATATTAACGACCTACCGATAATCGCTTAGAATGTGACAAACGCTAGTTTATCCGTACGTGTTAATATATCAACAATAAATGTATCATAATTAGATACATGAAACTACTTATGCTAATTTAACCCACTTTGGGTGGAGATTGATCTCGATTATTTTTAAAAAATTTGCACTGAATTAATAAATGAGGAAACTGATAAAATATTGGCGATAATTTTACATCCTGACATCCAAGAAACACTTAAGAAATCGTTGATATGTGATACTTTATTTTATTTAGATATTTGTCTTAATTTACATATTACTGTAATACTTATTAGGCAAAAAATGAATTTAATTTCTCAAATTGTAAACCAAATAAATGTTTTTAAAACTTGGCAACTCGATTTTAAATTGATAAAAGAATATGTTACACCCTGTATATTTTTTATATTTAAATACAACTTGTTTTGGCCATTTTTATAAATAAAAGTTATTATAATAGTATGTACCTAATATGCGCTTTAAACAAACATTTTTTTACTCTCAGAGCAAAATATTTATCAAGGTATATATCAAAAAAATGTTAAAATTAATTTTACTCCTAAGTATTTTAATTTTAAAGTTTTTCGATCGAAATACAGGAAATTTAGTTTTTTTTTAATTTCCTAAAACTTGTCGGCATTTTATCCTTCTGCAATCTAATTAGATGCTCTACCTACTCTCTTAAAAGAAAATAGCCAAAATTCTACTATTTTAATTAGTACCAGCATTGTTTACTACTAATAAAATAGTCGATTTTACTTTGAAATTGTTATTGTTAACTACCTAAATAGTTAAAATTTTAGTTTAGATAAGTCACCATCTTTAAATGTTTGTACGAGTAAAAAGTAACTAATTTCTTTAATCGATTTTAATTCTTGCTGCCAACAACAAATTATTTTTAGAGTTAAATGCATGTAGGATCCATGGTCCATAAAAACAAACAAAGATGCAAAAACTTTAACTCAAAACAGCAACTCAAAAAAGATATTTCAACCTGTATTATACATCACCGAAGTAACATTTTTAATAAATAAAACAAAATGTTTTGCATTTTACGGCAAAACGGTTAAAGATTCACATAAAAAATAAATATATGAAATTCAATTTTCTACAAAAAAGGTTCTAAGCATTAATGCAATAAAATGCATAGTTTAAAAGATATAGAGCTTTAATTAGTATGTACCAATTACTTTATATTCGACAGTAAAATGTGTTAAATGCTCTATATCTTTTAAACTATGCATTTAATTGCCTTAATGCATAGGATCATTTATTAGGAAATAAAATTTTCTATAAAATTATTTTTTACTTTTTACCTTTTTAATTTTAACCATTTTGCCGTAGACTATACATAATAGTCTTATGTTGTTTACAATATTTTCCAGAAAAATTTATTAAATGCTCTACATCATTTTATTGCATTAATGCATAGAATCTTTTTTGTAGAAAATTTAATATCCTATACAAGTCTTATTTACTTTTTACCTGTAACTTTAACCGTTTTACTTTGCGGAGTTTTCATTGTAACGGGTGCGACACTGACACTGCGTTATTTCATGATAATAAAGTGTTTGTACAGATATATCATGATACGTTAATATACAAAACTAGTATAAAAAATTAGGTATTTAACTCAAACAAAATGTCAATAAAAACTTATATAGAAAACCTTTTATATCGACAAATGCGACCAAGTTGGCTTACAAAATTGTATAATTTATTTTCTAAAATTTTATCAAAATGCAACGGGTCCATCGAAGATTTTAAGGTTATAAATTACTTCACAATTAAACTATTTGACTTCAGATATAGTTTTTGTTTTGTTAAATAACACATCTGATTTTTTGTCAAGATGGGGTAAGGTTTCGTGTATACATGGCGAAATATATGAGTTCTCCTAAAATTTCTGCTAGTACTTTTAAAAAGCATTTAAACACCTACAAATTGCACCTATGTAAATCGTAGGAGCGTGAAATGCCGCCAAGTTATACGAAATCAAAAATATATACGAAATTTGCTGTTTTTAATGAAAAAACTTTAAAATCAATATTAAAGTACTAAGAAGTAAGATTAAAGGATTTTTGCTACTGAGTAAAATAAAATGTTTGTTCAAACAAATTGTTTTTAGCGTAAATGGCTTCTCACAAATAAAAAAAGAGTTCCTTAAACAAGACATACATTTTACTATTAAAATTATTTAATATGCTTATGTTAATTATGTATAAAGTTTCATAAACGACATTTTAGTTACAAGTTTAATTAGGCACTATTAGGCACTGAGTGTCCAAAAAATTTATAAACGAGTTGCATATTACCTATACTTTATTTATGACAAACACTATAAAACATAATGTATTGCCAAATTGCCAATGCAATGCCAATCAATTTTGATATTTGTATAGAGCGACATCTATACAAAAATAGTAACCAAAATTGCTGTTGGGAATATGTTTTACTGGTATTCAAAATGTAATTGTCAGTTGTAAAATTTGTCTGTAAAAATTGAAAAATGGACTAAAGCCGTTTAAATACGATATAGAAGCAACTTTTTATAGTGAAAATTATTAATGCTCAAAGGGCAAATACTAGTTTGCTGCCGGCGAAATCAAAAGATCAGTACAAACGTGCACATAAAGATTGGCATCAAGAAACTATTTAATTATTTCACATAAAGCTACTTTATTTTGAAAATTGTATGACATTTCCCAAATGTCAATCAACTTATAAGTAGCTAACTTTAACCCGTGACTAAAAACCCCGATAGCCACTGTTGCTAACTTCATCCCGTAACTAAAACGCCATGAAGTCACAGCTTGTTAATGTGCATTTAAAATATTACTTAGTGTCATGTAAATATGTACGATAATGATCGTCTTAAATGTGACAGAAGAAAAAAGAATTTCTAGTGATTTCTGAGAATTTTTAAACTTTAAGCTTAATTTTTGCCTATTTTAACATAATTTTTGAAATACTATGCTTTCAATGCCATCTTATTATAAATAAAAAATATATATGTTTTAATTGATTATTGTTTTAATTTCAAAAAATATTAGAGTTAGTAAATAACGCATTATTCAGATTCTTTGTTCAATATTAAAATAACATTTTTTTAAATTTATATAAGAAAATGGCATTTATACATGCGTCTTGTCATTAATTTAGGTGAAGCGTTTTCTTTGGCACGCAATAAATTTTATTTTTTTTAATTTATAAATCAATTTTCATCATATAGGTGGCCTTTTTAATGGCCGTAGATGGCCAGAACTAAATAACGTTAGAATATTTTTTACATTTGTAAACTTCTTTAATTGTCTTTAGTTTGGTACAACTAAATTTTTGTTTATGTTGTTTAACTTTACTTTGCAAGGATGTATAACCTTTGCACTCTTTATAAATCGCCGCCGTTCGCCACTCAATATGTATTGTACAATATAAATATTTTATCACATACTTTTTTATAAAAACGTATTGTCTTTCACTATAAAACTTTTAATGTAAATGTACCTTTTTCTGTTTTTTATAGTCTAAAATTATCCAAACCTTTTTAATTTAAAAATTGGATCTATAGGAACATTTTTTTTATATTATAACATAAACAATAACATTCGAACGTTAAACTCGACAGTTTTTTGTGTTCCATCTAACTATAAATTAGTTTAACGACAGTTTATTTAATAGTAAAAAGTCTTTAATAGAATTGTTGAGTATCTCGAATTGAGCAATGAATATTTTAATGGCATATACGTACGCTGTGCCATTATTTTATGCGCTTTGCAATTAATGACACTAATTTATGTCTCGTTTACGGATAATGCTCATTTCTACCGCTTCCACTTTGCACTGGCACTGGATATTCTGTGTAGTTAAATAAAATTTAAAAAATACATATCTGTCTATTTCAAAATGCAAATGGTCTTATTGCCATTAAAAATGTCAAAAAATGCTAATTGTATACAAGTTTTATGGCGTAAGGCGAAGCACAAAAACATGACCAATTTTCCAATTTTTGAGGTACTTACCAAAAATGGATATTTTAAAATATTTTTAGTGAATTAGTAATTATTATTTCCGTCGGATGTTACTTTTTACCAACATTAATTTAAAGTACACTTTTGATATTTTTTTAGTATTTATTATAAAGTACCTAGGTTAATTTAATATTCATATTTATTTGTATAGTTCTAAAAAACAATAAGAAGATCTTAATCATAAAGATATTTAAATAAAACTCATTTTACAAACACGTTGCTTTAAATTATGATGATGACAATTTAAGCTTAAGTCTTATGCAGTTGACCTCGAAAATTTTAAAATGTAAATTATTTCGTTTGTAAATTTAATTTGCCAATGTCTGAGTTTGATATTAAAATATAAATGTATCGAGTCGCAACCAAGTAATCTTAAAATTACAAAAAACACAAACAAGATTCGAACAAATCATCCAATTTTATACATAAAGCAATCAATGCATTTTTGTATGGCAGGAATTGTATTAAATTAATAGCTTGCAGAATTTCGATGTATGTTTGATAAATGTGTAAAATAAATTATGGAGGGCTTTGAAAGAAATATAGTGTGCGATGAAAATTGGAATGTGGGTTGTAGAAGGACATAGTGCGCAAAGATCGCGAAAAGAACAAAAGAAAAGAAGCGTATTGTTTTTTTGTAAAAAGATTGCGTTTGTTTTATGTGTTCGATTGGTTTTATTGTTGTTTTTTTAGAGTTGCAGGACGGAAGGAAGAAGGAAGATTGCGCGCATGGATGAGGATGAAAAGAGTAGAAAAGGTCTGCGATGGAGGAGAAGTTCGAGGATGAAAGAGGAGTTTTGAAAATTGTGGTCAGATAGAGAGTTGTTGGTTCGTACCTTGGGAGATGCAATACATAATTTGGCGCGGCACTTTGAGTCCAGCAGCCAGGCAGGCAGCGAACGATGCCGAAAAATTGATGGCCATTTCTTGTTTTTGTCATGGAGCACTGGATGATGATGTGTGAGAGTCACTGCGTGGGGTGCACTGGTCTACACTGGTGTACACATGGGGCACTAGCACTGGGTGGCGGACGCGACGACGACGACGGCAAAGAGCGAGCGGCGGCTTTGGTGCTGGTGGCGCGGATGCTGCTGGTAGCGACGATGAGAAAGGAGCATAGCACGACGACGGTAGCGGAGAAGACGAGGCCCAAGCAACAACATTTGCCGGTTGCGCTGCCGTTGCATACAAATTTCGCCCAAGTTTTAGAGTGTCCGCTGGAAGTGGGGATGGCAGACGGTCGCCGGCGACCTCATGGTTCGTTCGTTTCGCTGCGATCTCGCGAGATGAAGCGGCCGCGCGCTGTTGCCGTCTCCGCTGCTGTCTGGCTGCACACCAACCACCCCGCGCCGCCGTTCCTTCTCTTTCTATGCACGTGCATCTATGCGCCGGCTTGCTGCACCCGAATCAATATCACACATTATCACAAAAAACTGACCCGACTTGGAGCGGGGCTTTGCACCTTGCCCGCCACCAACGCCGCCGCCGCCCGCCTCTCCCCCGACCACCCCTCCGTCCGACTACCACCAACGTGCCACACAGTGGATCCTTCATCCTACCACCTTACAACATGCATTACCAACCCTCCATTACCGTTTTTCTTTGTCAATCCCTCCTTTAATTACTACAATTATTCATATTATTATCACCTCTTTGTTGCTGTTTTAACATTTTTGTTTTTTCAATAACTTTATGCAATATTTTCTTTATCAATTTTTTTTTTATTTTGACCTGCACCGATATGCAGTTTATATATTTAATTAATTGCTTACAATTGAATTATTTTTAGAATTTTATTTTATACAGGGTGAGTTTTAAGTTGACGCGTTCCTTTTAACAGCGTGTAGAAATCAAAATGACATTTAGCAATGAAAAATGTCAGTTTTTTTGTGCCTCAATTATTGTTAAAAATGGTTCATAATTATAGCAATAATGAATTAGTGGAAATGTTACTAATTTATGGAGAGTGTCGTCAAAATGCAAATGCTGCAACTTAAGTAAATAATGACATTTTTTATTGCAAAATGTCAATTTGATTTAAATGGTTATGTTTGTTGTCAAATATGACATTTTGCATTGTTTATTTTGATATTTTTATGGTTATGTTTTTCGTTAACAATAACCAGGACCGGCTTAAAATTTAATTAAACTTTGATGGGCTATAACTTTTTTATTTTTTAGTTTTGATAAAAAAGTTACTTAAAATATTTATTTGTCTAGCTGATTTCTACACACTGTTAAAAGGAACGCGTCAACTGAAAACTCACCCTGTACATTCTTTTACGAAAATAGTAATAATATCCAAAATAAACCGTTTTTATATTAATTCGAATGAACAAACAAAAACTTATTATTAATTATTTATTAAAGTTAAACAGAACATGACAACACATAAGCCAAAATTATTTTTTAGGTCCTATACTTAAATTTTAATTTACTTTACTTAATTTGAGTAAAAAGTTTAAAATGTATGAATAAAAATACACTTTAACCAATTTTTTAATGATAATTTCCAAACTTCCTTTTAACTTATAGCAGCTATTTATATAATTTTAATAAGTTTGGTTATTTTAGAAAATTGCGAAAAAATTAAAAAAATAAAATTGAATTCATCTACTTAACTTTATTTTTGAAATGTTATAAAACAGTTGCATAATGTTGGGTTTTTTCGTGAGTACCTAATGATTAATATTATAAATTCCCTGCCCCTAACAACGGGAATAATGAACACAATATTCACTTTTTTAGGCATCAGTGATTGGCCGATTGCAATATTCACTGTGATTTGAACCAATCGAGTTTTAAATTGGGAAAAGGCGACTATAATAACATTTAAAATTGGTAAAAAGTAAGGTTAACCATTTGACAGATGTCAGATTTTTTTGTAATCATTTAATTATCATTTATTGGAGTAGATAAAGTATAGTATTACACTAAAGATTATGCGCATTATTTACTCGGATGATTGTACTATTATCATGTTGTATTATTTAACTAAAGTTTTTGATGTAATTATATATAATAATATCAGTTACGGAGTATTTCAAAGATTTTTTTCTTTTTAGGATTGTAAAAAATTAAAAAGTTGTATTCCATTTATTTATTCATATATTATATCACGAGAACTATGAATTTAATTGGTTAAACTAGGCTCAGTAGTTTTTTGTTTGGTTTTTGTTGGAAAATGTTGACTGCAAAATAATTTAATTATTTTGCATGAAACTATTTTCCAAAAAGAAAAATCAAATAAAAAACTTACTGAGCATAGTTTGACAGATTAAATTTATAGGTTGAGTGATATACGTCTAGATTATTTCTCGAATTAAAGGAAACTATTTGACAATTCATAAAATCTGACGTATGTATGTGTCAAAATTTATAAATATTTTTTTAAAGAAAATTCCATTAATTTAAGGTGTGTAATAAGTAATAATTGATATTTCGTAAACTAGATAACTTATTTTTTATTGTTTTTTAAAAAATGTTTGTTAAAACTTGTAAATAACACCATAAAATCGTAAACAAAAATCCAATATGACGGCTAAAATTTAATCTCTGTTAAATAGTTCTAGTGATTTAATCGCTTATTTAAACAAAATTTATTCGAAAATTCAAGGCTTTTGATTGGTTCATATTATAATGAGGAAAATAATCATGTTAAAAGCCGACCATTTTTTTTTTAGGAGTATAAAATAATTTGTATATTAATAATTTTATCAACATTCTGAAAAACTCAAATCAGTTTCTATTTATTTTATTACAAAAATGGCGAATGCGCCTATGTTTAAATCTATAAAAACCTCTAAACGGTTCATTTTCGTAGCAAACTTGCTGTTAACAAGTATTATTTATGCAAATATTTAAATAAACTTGATTATTTTTTTAGTATAATCGTCCTTTTTGTTGGATTATTGCCACTGTGCGCTGCACGCGCCTGCACTACCTGTCTCGCTCTCTCTTGGGCTGGTTCTACGTCCGGGACGTCGAGACGCTTTAACTAGACGTCGGTGCAGACGCCAACAGCATTCACCTTCCTACCAACGAACGACATTGCATTTCGCTCAAGCTCAAACTTTTTCCTTTAAACATTTTGGAAGCCTTTCTTTTTAAAACAAGATAATCATTACACTAATTTAATATATTTTCTTGGTTTTTTCATAAATTGAATTTGGTAATACTACTGTTTTTATGTGTTAAAAAAGTTTTTATTAATAATTGTGTTTTTTTAACTAAAATCTTTTTGTTCTTCTTTATATCTCGTAATGTTACATCTAAATGTGTACCACTTTAATGCCTGTCTCTTAATAGTATATTATTTATCAACTTTACGAGTTTGCGAGCGAGTGTATAATAAATATAAGTTTAGAAAAGTGTATAAACAAGATGCATACTATACTTATTCTTTGACAAATATTATTATATAAATAATTTATGACAAATTAATTTAAATATTTTTATAGAGCGACATTCATAAAAAAATTGGGTAACCAAAATTGGTGATGTCGGTGACAGTTTGTCAAATTTCCTGCAAAAATCGAAATGTCTCCCTTACGATGGACTAACAACCGTTTAAATATGATATTAAAGCAGTTTTTCATAGTGAAAGTGATATCAGGTTTTATAAACGCCATTTTAGTTATATTAAGCACCAGCGAAGTTTGCGAGCGATTGTTTGATAAAAACTAGTGTCTAGAGAAGTTTATAAAACGAGTTGCATGGTATTGTTTATCTACGAAGAACATTTGTAAACTAAACTTAAATCTTTTTGTTCTTCTTTATATCTCGTAATGTTATATTCAAATGTGTACCACTTTAATGCCTGTCTCTTAATAGTATATTATGTATCAACTTTAATAAAGAACTTTTAGTCACGAGTTTGCAAGCGCGTTCTTTGGTATAAACCTAGTACCACCCTGTTTGTTCAATATTTTTACCTTGAAATCTGGGTATTATGCATCCCAAATACATCATCCTTTAATATGTGTTCCTCTATGTTATCAGTCGATTTTAAGATTTGTTCGGGTGCGGTTCTATTTTAAAAAGTGGTACACCATAATATATATTATATACCAGTGAGATTTAAAAAGCATTAATTTTGTAGATTTAAGTGTTTTCAATTCAGTTTTCATTAATATTTATAAACCAGAAGAAATTTCGAAGAAATAAATAAGTAAGTATTATCTATATATTTATAATGAACAACTAAAACTTAAAATTTCTAGTGCCGTACTCAGATTTTTAGTAAAAAATATACATATTTATGAACTGGAATTAATTTTGAGAATTTTGTATACATTTTGAATCCTTTTTTCTATAAGTTCTAATCCTAGTTTAAGATTCATATTTTAATACATGCTTCATATACATATCTTAATAAAATACCCATCAAGTTTTCATCCAGTTATTTTTGCGCTAGGAAAATTTTGCATAATTTCCATTTGAATGTAAACGATTTTACTAATGAAAATAATGTTTTGTGGTATGATAACGATAAATAAAATCATAAATTGTACTAATTGTTTTCATAATATTTTTATAATTAGTTTTTTGTTTTGTCAATTTAATTTTCACATTATCTGATTATTAGAAGAAATGCAGGGCCGTATTTAGGACCATAAGGGCTATAATTAGAACATACAATTGAAGTTCAAAAAAATATATGATTATGAAAATACCGAGTTATGTTTTTTTATAGAAGAATGGATAAACAAAAATTTAGGGATGAATGGTACTGGAAGAAACCGCTCACTGAAGAGGAATTATATCAGCTGGCTGAGATAACTGAGGACCAAGCAGAAAATTCGGATATCGGGGGGGATTCTGATGCGGATGACCAATTTGACGTTCAGACAACAGGATCAGCTGATACACCCTCCTCAAGTTTTTTATCTGCAGATAGTTCCCCTTCAGTAACCCCGAGTCTATCAGACAGTTCCAAAAGATCAACAAGAAAAAGGGCAAAACTCGCCCTTCCAATTAATTTTTCGGATTATGATTCAGACGATTCAATTGCTGACAAAACCTATACGCCAGATTCTCCAATCCGCTTACAATATAGAATATCTCCTCATAGTGACGAAGAAGTGAATGAAGTAGAAGAACCAATTACTGAGTTTTCCATCTGGACAAAGACTCCTGTGCCCCCTACAAGATATATAAATTTCAATTTTTCAGAAAAGACAGGCCCTAGGGTACAGGTATAGTTATATATTTATTATCCAAGCTATGTATATAATATAAGTAATTTTTCAGGTCAATTCAAAAAATCCCTCTGATTTTTTCGAAAAAATGAGTCAGCTAAAGTTTTGAAGTCTTTTAGCAGACCAACTAATCGGAAATTAGTCGAATAGGAAAAGACCTGGGCCATTAACAATAAGAAATAATTTTGAAAATATTTCACATTTTCCAGTAAAAACCACAAAAAGAAGATGTCAAGAGTGCAGTAAACGAGGTTTCCAGAAAAGAAGTAATTATATGTGCAATGAGTGCCAAGTAGCTTTATGTGTAGAATGCTTTGATCTCTACCATACCAATTATTAACTTTGTAAGATTGTTTGTTCATTTATTATAGAGTTTGGTTTTATTTTTCTTTATTTATTGTATGTTTGGTTTTTGTTATAAATCTGTTCATTTATTATAGAGTTTGGTTTTATTTTTCTTTATTTATTGTATGTTTGGTTTTTATTAT